CGCCGAGTCGTGCATCATGGCCTCCTCCGTGTAGTGCCACGGCGCGAACCGCCGGGCGTCGGCCGCCCTCTTCGGCGCCGGCCTGCCGTTCTCATCTTCGGCCGGCGTGGTGAAGCATGGCAGTCTCAGCCCGCCGCCACCGCCTCGTGGAACTGGAGGTCCCCCGTGGTGAGCTCCTGCGCCGGGACTCTGGCCTCTTCCAGCCGGAGGCGCCGGAACGATCCCTGTTTGGTCCACTGCAAGGGTCGGTTGACGGTGAGTCCCTGGAGCGCCGGCGAGGCCCACCAGAGCTTGGGCCGGGAAATCCAACCGAAGTCGGACCGGCTCCACCGCCAGTGCCTGGGAGACCTCCTCCGCGGCCGCCGGCTCCATCACCACGTTCTCGAAGAGGAAGACCGTCTTCCTGCCGTCGGCCGCCGAGAAAATCTCGTTGGCGAAGTCGACCGCCTTGAGGAAGAGGGACCCGCGTTCGCCGGCGTGCCCCGCTGCCAGTCCTATTCTCGAGAAGTCTGGGCAAGGTGGGGCCGCCGTGATCACCAGGATGGCCGTCCTCTGTGGGTCCGCCTTGAGATCTCCGCCGCCATGTTCGCCGCCGACTCGTTCAAGAAGTCGTGACGGTGTCGGAGCCAGGGGAGCCGGGCCGACGACAGCTTGGTACAGGTGCTGTCCAATTCCCAAGCCCACGCCGCCGCGGGCTCGCCGTAGAGGTCTTCCAAGATGGCCGGGGCCCCCACGCCGTCGAAAATTGACAACAGAGGTACCTGGTGCGCTGCCTGCGCCGTTTGAGTGCCGGACGGACTGTGATGCGGGCGCGGTGGACGACGGGTACCTCGCCGTGGTTGTCCGAATCCGGCGAGGCCCCGCGCTGTCCCTAGCGATCCGGCTCTTGGCGCCTGCGATCCTCGTGCTCGCCGGTCTGCTGCCAGGCCTGGCTGTTGTCCCAGCCGCCACGGCCGCCACTGCTGGCGGCCTTGGCCCTTGCCCTGGCCGCCCTGTCGGCGCCGGGCGAGCCAGCATCGCCTCGTTGAAGGAGCCGTGGTCCTCCAGGATGATCGTGGTGACCTCCGGAAGGACTTGCCGAGGCGCATCTCCGCTGCCGGTGCTCCGAGGCGTCCCAGTTTTAGTCAGCCACCGCCTCGAGCTGCGCCGAGCGTAGCTGCCTTCCCGATCCAGCAATCGATGTAGCCGTTGACCGCCCGCTCGCCGCCGAGGCCCACCAGGATCCATGCCCAGCGGATCGCGTCCAGGCCGTCAACCACCCCCCAGATCCCCCTGGAGGTGAACGGCCGGTCGTTCTCCACCGCCGGGGCCCCATCCATCACTGGTCGTGAGTGGGTCGACGACGCCGATGGAGGAGAAGGTCCTCTCCGCCAGGACCTCCCCCAGGCCTAGTGGGGTATACAGCTTCCTCGCCGTATGTTCCCAGTACAGCCGGGCCAGTATCTCCTCGGCGCCGAACAGCACCTTGTTGTAGGAGCCGGCCCCACTCCGGGAAACTCTTGGGTGGCCGGTCCGCCGGCAGTGGCGCGAGCACAGCCGCCGGCACCCGTGGTGGCCGGTGGTGGGGTCGGGGGCTGACAGTGGAGCTCCCACTGCCGCCGGGCTTCGCACCAATCATCCGCCGAGCACCAGGGCGGCCGTGCGATCCAAGGAGCGTGCCGCCAGGTAGGCGAGCATCTCCGGTCCGGCCCCGGCCGACGTGGCCAGGTCGCCGAACGCGACCATGGAAGAAGCCACCAAAATTGCCGCCGCCATCGTCGAGAACATGGCCGGGAGAGAGGACACGGAGAGCGGATACCGAAGGCCGAGCCGGAGGAGCTGCGCCAGTAGCACGACTCTCCGAAGGCGCCTTAGCGAGCAGTCAGTGAATGCATGTACCCGCTCCGGAAAACACCTCAGAGACCAGTCGGCCCCAGCTTGGCTTCATCATCCTGGAGGGGTCGGGGCACGAACTCCAGGGCCGGTGACTGAACCGTGTCAGCCGGTCCCGTGGCCGCGCCCCTGTAACCCGCGTCGGCCTGCTCGCCGGTAGGAAAGGGGGCCGCTCTGGAGAGGATCCTCGCCGGCACATCCGGTGCCACATGCAGCCAGTGGAGCTGCCTGGGTGTATTTCTCCACCGCCGCCGACGACCAACGGCCTAGCAGCTGGATAATGGTGGGGACGCCCTTGGACGCCAGCCACGAGGCGCCGGCTACCCGTGCCAAGTGCCGCAAATAAACCGGACCACTGCGCCGGTGTGGTCCGATGTCGTGAGGGTCACCCCCGCCGCCAGCAGGACCCGGCGAAAGAAGAGCACGACCTCCTGCCAAGTGCCGCCCTCGCCGTCGGGAAAGAGCGGGCCGTCACGGACCGAAAGGCCCGACTGGAGGCGGTCGATGTGGCGGGCCGCCAGGTGCACGGGCACAGCGGCGGGGCCCACGCCGCACGGCAGGCGCACCGCAGCTGGCGAAGTGTCATCTCCGACTCCCCGCCGGTCGCCACGTACCTTGTGCAGTGGTATTTTGAGCGTGACCTCGCCGTCTGCCACTTCAAGGTCCTGGGTTCGCGCCGCTGAGAACTCGATCTCCCGCAGCATGAACCACGCCGCCAGTAGCAGGGCGTCCGCTGCGTGCCGTGACCCAGGGTGACCAAACCCGGGCAGCTGCCGGGTCGCTGGGCACAATCAGCGGCGCCAGGCGATCGACCGGGAAGGCTGCCTTGAGCTTAGAGCCGGGAAGGCCTCTCCGTATGGCTTGGGTGAACTGCCGGATGGCCTTCCGGAGGATGGGCTCCCGCGTCAAAATAATTCTGCGCCGAGCGATAACCGCCGCGGCGAAAGGACGCCGCCACTGACCGGATGTTGGTCGCTGTCAGTGGCCAAGGCTCTAGGCCCCAGGCCTCGCACGCCTCGACCCACGTCCACACCCGGGAACGGCGCCTGGGAGGACCGTGCCAGGATGTTCTGGTCGACCTCCGCCAGGGCCGCCTCGCGGTTCCGGCAGCGCCGCCTCAAGCGCAAGCCGTTTGGATGCCCGACGCACCGGAACGCGTTGGTCGACGGCGCCGGCCCCGACCTAGACACAGCCCCGTCGCTCGCCCGAGCCGTTTCCCCGGAACCGTCGGTTACCGCCGCCTCCGTTGGGCCGGGCCCCCGCGATTCCTGCCGCGATGTCCTCTGCCAGTTGTTCGCCAGGTCCTCCAGGACTGTGGGCGGGATCCGCCATCTCGCCGGTGGTGGGGGTGTTGAGCCAGGTCTCGAGCCCTACTAGAATACGCCAGCAAGAAAAATAGCAGGACAAAAAGGTCGCCGAGAAGAAGGAGTTCGAATCGGCTCGCCGGACTTTTTCTCAGAATGCCGGGCAGTGCAGTAACCTAGGTGAGACCCGCCGGCGCCTTACCACGCCGCGGGCTCATGCTGTGATGATGCGTCGCCGTCGCCAGGAGAGGCCCGCGAAGGCATCCTGACGCCGGGAAAAAGGAATATGCACTGAAATCAAAGCCCCGCCGGGACACCGACGCAATCCGCGTGCAAGTGCCGCCGGCCGGTGGCTGGGTACCTATAGTACCGCCGGTCGCGCCTGTTACGTGCGCGCCGGCAACTGTCACACAGGTGCGTCGAGGTTGGCAGCGCCGTGCCGCCGGACTATGACTGGCCTAAGGCATCTGCCGGCGTGGTTCCGGCAAGGTGCGCCGTCATAGCCGGAGCATGGGCAACCACACCAGCCCACGACCCATACCTCGCCGGTGATCCTCTCCGGGACTCGACCGCCGCGGATGTGGGGCGGAAGAGCCCTGATCACATAGTCAGCGGCGCCGGTCGCCGTGGGGATCACGCACTGAAGCCGGCCGGGTCGAGGTTCGCCGTGTCCTCGATCTCTTCCAGCCTCGCCAGGGAGTCCACAACGGACGGGAGCATGTCCGCCGGGACCGGATAGTTCGCCCTGGCGCCGGGCTGGTGCATGGCCTCCAGGTGGACGCCGTGCTCCGGGCTGTTGAGCTCGTGATAGATATCCATCACCGCCCGGAACGCCGCGTCATTGGCTCATGCTGAGGCGCCGTCCGTGACACTCGCCGGGGGGCATCACGGTATCCCATGCCCGTGTCACGGTTCACCGTGTACCACCTGCCGCGGACCTGCAAGTTGATGAAGCCGGGAGGCGCCGGCGAGGGCGGCCGGGCTGCAGGTCCCGCCGGGGTGGTACTCGAACTTCCCGCCGGCGCTGCCGAGGCTGTTCCAGCCGCGATCTCCGCGGCGATGGTGTCCTGCATCCTCCGGTACGCCTCGGAGCCGGGCTGGGGCGGTCCATGTGAAGTCGCCGCCGGGGACCTCAAAGAAGAAGTCGCCGAGGACGATGTAGGAACCGCCGGCCGTGCCGGGGGAAAGCTCGGCTGCTTGGGCTCCGCCGGTGGCGCCTTCGGTGGAGGCCTGTCCGGCTTCGCCGGGTACGTTGGCACACTAGTAGGTGCGCCGGGTGTCTGCTGCAAGCCTCCGGAGCCTCCGTGTGCCGCCGTAGGCACGTCATGCTCGGAGGGAGGCTCCGGACCGGGATCCGACATCGCCGGGTCTGCTGCTGCCATGTTGTCGCCGACAGTTGGGCCACCAGCACGTTCCGCTCCAGCATACTCCACCGCCGAAAAAGTGGCGCCAGGTTAGCGCCGTCCGACAGCGCTCGGCGCAGCTCGGCCGCCGCCTCCTCAACCGAGATGTTAGACGACGCCGAGGACATGGCGCCGGGAAGGCAGCTAGCAGAAAAAGCTTGAAGGCCGGGCGACGTCGATCCCACAAGGCAGCTGCGGGAGCGACGTTCGCCGGCTTGTCCTAGCACACACAAGTGTGTTACACTGCAAAGGCATAAGGGTGGACCCCCCTGCGACACACCTTTAAGTCTCGAGCTATCGCACTATCGGACCTAGCGGCCATAGAATGCCTGTTTAGCCCCCTCTTTCTGACTCGCCGTCGACTCCCGCAAGCTCCTAAAGAGCTGTCGCGACATGAAAGAGCTGCTTGCTGCAAAGAGACGCGATCGCAGCGTAGCAGACACTCAGGAGCTGAGCACGACCTGACAGAAGCAATGCGCATCAACGCGCCGAGTGATGCAAAGCTGAATTTGCTGAGGGTCCGGGCTGCTGGCTGGAGCGATCTCTGCCTGAAAACTCGCTGCCAGGCCCAAGCGCTTGCTGAGGCCCAGGCCCCAACGGGAGCCCCGCGACCATTGTCAAAGAGGCGGGCACTCCGATACCTACCTCGATAGAGACGAGCAGCTCAGATGTTTTTGCAAAGGCCTGCATAGCTCACCGAGGCATTCACTGAAAACCCCGTGACCGCTCTGAAAACTCCAACCTTAAGCTGGACCGCGAGACTGACATCAACATAGAATTCAACATTCTCTGAGCCTCTGAGTCTGAGGTAGAAGCGATCAAGGGCGACGCAGCACCCCACATCCCCCAAGACCTGCGAATTCGATAGAGTGGACTGAGATTGCCCAAGGCTTCTTCACAGTAGCTCAGGCACAGTCCCAATAATGACCCCAATGTAGCCAACAAGGATCGGCACGCGGCGCCTGAGTTGACATCATCTACGGCAAAGCAAGTGGAATAGCTCCTCTATGCCAGGCACAAAGCCCGAACTGATCGCCAAGCAAGCCGGATAGCAGCGTGCCAGCCTCACATGGCACCATACAGAATGAGGGCTTCTGGAAGATGCAAGCGAATCCTCTGTCACTGGTGCTTAAGCACGCGGCTGCAAATCCGAAGTACCCCACTGATGCAAGCAGCGCCACCTCAATTAACAGGCCCATAGCCCAATGCCCAGCAGTGCCCCTTCGGCCTTGCATGCGAGGTACCTGGTCTGTCACAAGGGCCCATTCAAGCCGCCATGCCGTGGTCAAGGGTGAGATCACCTGACGAGCCGATCTCGCCCCTCACTCCGATCTTGCAGCAAGGCTCCAGCATCCAGCTCTGCAGCTTCACCTTAGCTGTTCAATCATCAACCCCAGATGACGGCTGCCTCAGCTGCCGCCGAGTCTCTGAAAAAGAAGCATGCGAGAAGCAGCGCCTGTCAGTAAAGACTGCAAGGTTTTGGGGAAGACAAGACTTGCCTAGATCGAGCTGGCTCCTGCTGCACTTGATACTTTCCGGCTCCAACTTCCTCGATGAAGTCAAGGACCGCCTCGATCGAGATCGAGCAACACGCACCGAAAGAAAAAGAAACATGCTAAACTCTGCTGTGTTTGTGCCTGCTGCTGTGCCTGCTGGACATCAGCTTGCCCGGATTGGGCTCGGCGCCTGACGCGGGGAGCAGAATTAGAAAAGCTGTCCTTTTGTTTGTCCTTTGTCTTGTCCTTTCTCCGTTATTTATCCTATCTGTCCTATCTCGCTGAGTGGTAGGATTGGTGCTTGGGGAGAGGGGTTGCGGGAAGAGTTGTTTTCAAAATGAATATAGCAATACGGACTACACTCCAAACCCCAGGCAATTTTGCAGCAACCACCGCAATTTGCGATGTGCCTGGGCAATCTTCTGCCGGAAGCTGCCACACCCAGGAGTCCACCTCCCCCAAGTGCCAGGGCCACCTGATTGTTTTCGTGTCGCCCTCTGCAATCGCCGGCGTGCTGCCTTTCCCGGCGCCTCTGAAGAAGGCGCAGTAGGTACCTCTCAGACTCTCAAGAAGCTCTAAGCCGACAAGAGATTGCACCTGGTGGAAGGAAGCGGGACTGCGGGACTAGCCGGCCCAGCGGCCTCTGTCGTCTTCGTGCGCCAGGCAGGCAGCGGCCGGAGCGGCTCTCGCCCGGTGCGCTCCGCTCGTGCCGAGGCCGAGGCTCGGGGCGCCTGCCGCGCCGCTGAGACGTGCGGGAGTCTCGGCAAGTCTCGAGTCTCCCGGGTCTCCGAGGCTCCGGCACAGCGCGAGCTCAAAGAAACCGCGGCCATTGCAGAAACGAAAGCAAAGACAAGAGAGAGCGAGATGGAACCACAGGACAAGGAAGATATACTTGCACATCGACGCTCGCTGGTTGCTTGTATGCTGATACTTCGCTCAAAATCGTGCAACCTGCACTTCTTCATGCGCTTTAGATGGCTTCCTCAGAGCATTCGTTCGTCTCAGACTCATCTGACAGCATGCACTCAAATAAATGCAACTGTCATCGGCACTTGCTAGGCTTCGCGCATGGACAGAGTGGCCGACGGGCTCCGCAATGAATTCGCTCACCACCACTTGCTGCAGCACCCTGTGCTCGATTAGATCGAGCCAGTGCTGCCGATGACCAGTCTGGCTCAAGTGCGGCTGCTGTGGTGGATGCTCCTGCTCTCGCTTTTGAATCTCCCTGAAGACTTCCTCCGTCTCCAGATCAACCGTGTGAGGAGTCTGCTGGCGTAGCTCCATTTCGGACGAGTTGACTTCGAGACTCTCCGAAGCTTCCACCAAGTCACGGGATGTCGAGCCGGACTGTGCCGAGTCAGCTGAGTCTTCTGCGGCCACCTCGTGCAAGACACTCTCATGCGAGCTGACAGCTGATGCAAAACTCGTGCGAGCTTGCTGTTTCGGCAATGGTTGCAGGAGCCGCGTGTTGGGCCCACCGGTGTCAGCACGTACGGCACCTTCGCCCACACCGTTCTGAGCATGACTGCCGTCGTCACCTTGATCGAGCTCGCGGTCGTCCTCGCGACGGAGCCAGGCTCTCATGGACTTCTCCGCATCCTCTTTGGATGCGAATCCGAGCACGCCAGGATCCGGCGATGGCGCCTGTGGCTCCTCAAGGCTCGTCTTGCGCCGCAAGGGTCTGCCTTTCGCCAGCGCACGTCTAGGCGGTGCGGGTGGAAATGCTGCTTCTAACCTGCTCACTGGAACAGGCCGAGGATCCTCTTGCAAGGACTCCTCAACCTGGATTGCTGAAATGCCTGCACCCAAGGTCGCATCGTCTGCGGTGCCCTCGGCATTGCTTTCAGCGATGCCCTCCATGGGCAAGCAATTCGATTCCTCGCGTAGTGGGCCTTCCAGCCTCAAGGTTCAATCCAAATCCAAGACATCGCTGCGCACATGCTACATCAATCGAACCCGTGCCGAGAGTTACAAGTCCAAAGTTAACCATAGGTCCAAAGTTAACCATAGGTCCACAGGGCTCGCTAGCTATGCCGCTCTTGCCCCAACCCCTGGCCTGACGTTGTAGGGTTGCGCAAGGGCACGCCAGGCACTCTCAGCATAGGCTAATCGTCTCGCTTCCACGGCATCATGCAATGACAGCTCCACTGGCTTCTCGTAGGCTTCTTGCCAGGACGTTATCAAGACGTCTCGTACCTGCCGCCTGCAAGACTGTGCACTGAAACTCTCCTCGCGCTGGGCCAGTGAAGGACCTGCTGGCAGTCTTGGGAACGGCACAACCTCGTCCGTGCCAAACTGCCATGGCTCTGACAGGTGTCGTTCGGCGGCGGGGCGATTCAGTTTTGCCGCAACCAACGCAGCCACACGTCCAAGGCTGTGCTTCCGGGCAGACCTCTGGGCTTCATTGTGCTTCGTGTCCCACAGCCGGGCGCGGGAATCGCAAACGGCAGAGGAGAAGCGAAACCGAGGAGACTCGACTGCTCGACGAAGTCCCACCATGCACGGAAAGGGTGCGCCCCATCTCCAAGTGGGAAATACTTCGAGTTCAACCACCAATGCATAGCCTATAGCTCTAACCCTCTAACAGTCTAACATGTGGGCGAGCCTGCGCTCTCTCTTGCCTGCGGAAACCGCCGTTCGCTGCAAGTACTTACACCATGTCACTCTCTGAACACACGGCCCCGGCGACTGAACTGTGAAAAACAATGGTCTAGCAACCGGTCAGAAGCGGTCTCAAGGGAAGCGGCTTCCGACCTCGACGAAGTTGTATATAGCACGGAGCTGCTCGAGGCTGGCCTTGTCGTGGATACTGCTAGGAAGTACCGCGCTGCGCCGGTGCGCTTCGCCACTTCGGCCCCTGCTGGGTCCAGCTCGGGGTTCACGGCGGCTGCCGCAACCACGGCCTCTGTGAAACCCTTGCTGCATTGCTCAACTCATTTGGATAGTCTCGATGACCGTGGTAGACCATGGTGCTCCAAGCCCCCCCCCCCGCCTGCCATCTAGCCGGCAAGTCGTCCGCGCTCCCAGCCGTCTCTGTTGCTGGAAGGCCCTGGATGGTCAGCATGGTGTTACGGCACTGAATCTGGGGTCGCATACACTGGCAAAATAAGACATTGACCTGCAAAAGCTTTCATGGGAAAGTCTTCAACATTCAACGTTCAAAACATCAAAACATGGAATGCAGACTGGCTCATTGCTTTTTGCTGGCTTACTGCTTAGGAGCTCTAAATCCCAAAAACGGCACCCCCCCTGCGACACCCTTGTTCTGGAAAGTAATTAGGGGAGCCAGAAGCAAGGATGGTGAGGAATGGGCGGTCGAGATCGCAAGTTTGTAGGATCTCACTCTCACAATTTTCATCCTTCGAGCGCAGAAGGGCTCCCAACAGGCTTGTGAAAATGCATAGCACGAGTGGCGGGACCATGCGACAGCTCGACGTGTTCAGCAAACCTTTAACAACAACATCACATTCAAGACAATAAGGCTGCAGCTTGGGAGCTGGAAAAACCTGGCTACCTGTTTCCCAAGCAAGGATTACCCAGTGGGGACTGTCTGATCTTCATCTTATGCAGCACATGGTCCTTCACGATTTCATGCCGACTGTTTTTATCTCATTTAAGTGTTGTATACTGTCGGCATCGAAGCACGACCAGCTCCGCGTAGCATGTTCCATGCGTTTTGGTTAGCTGCAGGGGTCGAGGCTGCTTTGGGTCTGCCTCGCGGTCTTCTTGTAGGAGCTCCTAAAGGTGTTAGTCCATCTGTGCTGAAAGAACTTGAGCGGATCCGCATTGCTTGCTCGCAATAAAGGTCCAAAAACGTCTGCAGTTTGCCTTGTGCCCTGCGTCCGCAAAGAACGTCCGTGTTCGTTTTGTATGTTACCATAATATAGCACGTAGTAGCATTGCTTTACTGTCTACCAATGAATGCGGGTGAGATAAGCAAAATGACTTGCAACGATTTGCTTTGGAAGGCATTTAGGGCTGCGAGCTCAACGTTAGTTAGCTGCACACCTTCTAGACCGTAGAGTCACCCGGATCGGACAACATCATTGAATGCTTGGATTTTCCACCTCATGCTGTTGTTGGCGCCATTCCAGAACATTTTAAGCCGGTTGAACATTGCCGTTGGTTCACAGTGAAATTCACGAACTGTCCCTGGTTCAAGCGAAACGAAACCGTGGCATGCTGACGGTTTCTCCATTGCACGTAAAAGAACATTGTCGCAATGCGTAGCTTGCCCCGAAAATGGGAGTGTCATCTGTGCACGGCACAGTATTTCAGAAAAATACATGCAACAATCATCTTCGATATCCCCGAGCAAGGCTCCTAGTTCGAGTCAAAATAAACCTGAATCGCTTGATAAAGCCTTGCCTGATACTGGCATGCTTTGTCAGCCAGTCAGATTCGTTCCCTTTCATACTGAATTTTAACGGCGGGTCCCGATAGAAGCCTTGGTTCAAGTTCACATTTTTCCGTATGTTCAGCCCGGTTTCGAAAAAAGTGTTTTGAAAGATCTTGTCGAAAGCCTTTTCCCAATCTAAAAGTACCAAAGAGCTGCTGCACTTCTTGTCCGGCCATCTTTCCTCTGCCAGTGCTACAACAATCTTGTCGCAGGACTTTGCCAGCGAAATCCGGCCGGTAGTTTTCAAGACACCTCTTCTGTAAATCGAAACCACACCAGCTTTGAGAATGTGTTCTGGGACTTCTACTCCGTCAAGGCACGTGTTTGTCCAATTTGAAAATAGGACTTACGTCGTTGTACAACTTGAAGCGCTCACCGGGCAGTCCATGGTGACCAGGCATCCCTTTCGGATTCAATTCGTCGACATGCACAATCCACCTCGTCGAGGGTGAAAGGGAATTCGGCTAACACATGCGAATCGTATGAACCGTTTTGTAGTGGACTGTTGACTCTAGACGGCTGAGGCGGGAAGGATGTTGACGAAGAGGAACCGCTCCATTGGACTTTAGATGTGTACTCTGCAGCATCTTGTGGGTAATAAGTTTGCCAGTAACCGTACCATCCGTGTTGAAATTGGTGAACTTACCGGAAATTTGGCGCGAAGCCGTTTGGGGCCACTCCATTTATATCCTTGCGCTACACAGTGTCCCTTTGTTCCGTTATGCTACAGCATCTTTGTTAACTGTTAGGTGTCTCAGCTACATCCCATTATTCATTTTCAGTAGCTTGCCACTACATTTCTCTGCGAGAGGAATTCTCTTTTTGTTCGGGAGCTCGTGCTGGCAAGTGTTCCTTAGCAGATTGGAGAAGACTTGTGATCAAATGGTAAAAAGTTAAATCTGCACCATTAGCATTACTCAGCTGCGGCATTGAATTGATAAATCTGTAATTTGTCCGGTTTACGCAAAGTCATCTTCTAGGTGCGTGCTTGAGGAGGGCCGGCTTTCATCTGAAGCTTCACAACGAGCAGAAGGGGTCTAAGGTCAGGCCCAACACCGATGTTCGTTATCCCCGGCACATGGTTTCCAAGATCATGTGCTGGCGAACCGGAAAGGCCCGCAAATGCAGCTTGTTGAAACCATCAATACAGGCAAGCAGGACCCGCTCGGCAGCAACTGTTGTCAGTCGGCTGAGCACCTGGTATCGCCCACTGATGCGCAAAAAGCATGGCACGATCATGGCGAAAGACAAGCTAACTCGTGGAAAATCGAACCTCAGCCACCTGGTCACTGGTGAATTGCAGGTCTGGCATACCTGGACAGTAGCACAGACTATGAACACACTCTAAGCAAGCGCAGGTTTCGTCCAAGATGCCTCCGCAGTACACGGAAGCCACCGGAGGCCACCAGGGGCTTGTGTGCGCTGTACGCGCTGTACGCGCAACTCGGATATGTTGGATTTGGTTGAGTGTGTGCAAAATCAACGGCCAAGGGTGCTGCTGCACGACATTTGCTAGTGCAGAGCTCATCGACGGGTAGGTCTGAAAAATACTAAGCTCAACATGCATGAGTTGAAGCTGGCACCATGGCGAAAGGCAGGCTCGGTACAATCAAGATAAACATGACAGATACGAGTCTATGCCAACGGAAGGCCAGCTATCTCGCTTTCTCCGCAGACTGCACGTGATCACTTGAGTGAAGCCAGCTGCGGCCTGAAGTTCTATAACGCAGATTTGGGACAGGCACGCATATCACCATCGAGTCATCAGGCCGGAGCAAGGCCGCAATGGCGGCAATGCGAGATCCTTCGTCTTTGGCGAAGTCCTTCCCATGGCTACAGAAATGCTGAAACTGGAACTTTGCTGCTCTAGTCAGCTCTCCTCTGCAGATTGCTTTCGACAGTCTCCGTCAGATCGGACTCTGTCAGCCAAGAAGCTTCCAGAATGTTCTGCCTCACAAGTGTCAAACGGTACGACACATATGACCCACCAGGACCAGGCAGACCTCGCGCCTCGCGCACTCGCTGCTCAAGTTGCCAGCTCAGGTCTTTGGCATGAGCGGAGAAGTCTGCAACCTGCAGAACACAAACGTCTGGTTCTTGGCTTCTGTCTGAGCATCGCCAGTAGGAATTGCCGGCAACATTTCCTGATGCAAAGGGACAATGCCAGTGGATTCAGCGAGAGACGCCGCAGACTGTGGGCTCGAGCTCCACGTGACTGAGACTTCCGTACCATTCTGAAACATCCGAGGCCCCGTGTGAGAGACACTTAGGGCTTATGGTTAAAAGGAGCTAGAGATCTCTTAGTCTCCGGGCTTGCTACCTGTGAGAAGCGGTGTTGTCGGTACTTCTAACCGACACCCGGACAATTGAAACATGGCTCACCGAAGATCACGGCCAGCGAGGACACCAATGCAACAGTCACCTCTGCACGATAATGCGCAAGTCGGAGCAGCGACATGAACTGTTTGAGCACGTTGTGCCGGTGGAAGAATCCTACATCACTGGTCTGCAGTCGCCTCGAAGACGGTCAACCAGGTTCTTCTGTGCTTGGCGTGCGATGTCAGCAAGGGCCTAGTGAGAGAGAGGGATAGAGAGAGAGAGAGAGAGAGAAAAAAAAAACTTCGTGCGTTTTCGTCGGAGTTCCCCGATCCTCGCCTGAAACGGGCGCTCGTTGATGGGGGTCAGGTGAAGGCCTTCGCTGCACAGGACAAAACGAAAGCTGAAGGGTAAAGACAAGACGAGCAACGCCGGCACCAGCGGAACTCACGCTGGGCCGGACAAGTCCGGACAATTCGGGCCGCGGCAATCAGATCCTATGAGCCTTTAATGGGTTTGCCCTCGAGTAAACGTCTGCTTTGGATGATTCGACCTGTATAATAAATCTAAGCACTTCTAAGGAAGCCCAGACACCACAATGGCACGTCTACACAAGCCCTCCTGGGAAGGCAATCTTGGACTGCAGATCGGGCACCACATTGCCACAGTACATACGATAGGAGACGAGTGCGCGACGTCCGAACCACAAGCAGACACGGATAGCTTCAGGAGCTGGGCTGAGGCATCTACCATCGTAAACATCCCAGGGTCCTGGGACCTGGGGCTGCGGGTTAGAAAGTTTTCTCAGACGCGATGGCTGGGCTGCCGGCTGCTCCATCCCGAAGCCTCCAGTATGGGTCTGCAGGTCTCTTGCTGACGCATTGCATCGCTTTGTGCCATGGCCCTGGCCCTGGCCCAAGTGAAGCGAGCGGATACAACTCCGGCTTGACGTCCGGGGCACTGGTCAGCAGCTTCCACCTTCTCCCAGAGTGCAGCATGGGAACAGGTGAATTCGACACCTGCCTGTGCGTGCTGGTCGATGCTTGCATGTGCTTGCCTGGCGAGATGTTGAGCTCTGCAACTGCAACGACATGTTCCCGGATTTAGCAGCGAACCTTCGGCAGGTCCAGTTCCCAAAGCCGTCTGAGGAATGCAGGCCTCAGCCAGCCATGTCGTCTTGAGTCGTTTCTTTGTTATGGGTTGTCGAGGCAAGGACAGGAACGGGTGGTGGAGATCTGCGTTGCAAAGCAGAATGGCTTGCCATGCCATTCAGACTCAAGAGAATACCCGCCTTGGAAGCGTTGTCACCGACTCGACCTGAACCAGGCAACATGTGTTCAAATATCTTCCAACTATGCATCACGGAAGCACCGACTTCTCAGACGAAGCCGCACCTCCATACAGTTCGAGGAGACTGGAGAAAGCGGTGTTCGCGTCATTGTCGAAGCAACCGAGAAGCTCGTGTCCAACTGGAACAACTTCGGAACAACTTTCTTCACACCGTATGAAATTTGGGCACACAGGCATGTCCTCAAACATGGCAGGTTGACCACAGCAGCTGCAGAACCGCCAGAGTTATCGTTCTTCCTACGGTGACACAGCATGGAAAATACGTGCACGACCAGCCAGCCTGCGTTTCTCACTCAGGCCCCCACATGGAGTTCGGCATCATGATGGGTTTGACACTCGTGTTGTGGGTGGCCGGGCACATTGGCACTGGTCCCGAAACTGGAGCTTGGCGGACGGCATGCACTGCTGTCCGTTGAGCATAGTACTGTGCGTACCATGGGTGGGCAACCTGCTGAACAAAATGCCGATTGTGCAGTGTCCGGCAGGAGGCTGGAGCTGTGTACACAGCTGCAGGTCCGGTGCTGTGCAGGGACTGCAGCGTTGGAGCGGGACAAGCCATGGCGAGCCTAGACTCAAACGAAGCTCTGCTGGCTAAGTAGCACTTGCTGGTCGATCACTAATCAGATGTTGAAAGCCCCGTCCTAATCGTTCAAGCTTTCAGCTCAGTGTGACCGAGTTTCATTCATTGTTCACGAACACGTGAGAGCAGAATACACCGAATCACGTTCATGCTGAAAACTAAACACCTGTCACTTACGATTGCAATCAGACAGGACACAGTTCTCCGAGACGGTCTATCTTAAGCAGAAAGACTGCATAGTCAATTTGAGTGACTCGCATCTGCTAGCATCAGGTTCACGACACCAATCCAGAGACAATCAGTCTCACCTGGCGCTGCATCATGGAGTGTAGTGCTTTGGCGTCAGACCTTGGTGTTGGGTGACGTATCGTTGGCGACGGCTCTTCACACCGAGTTGCAGGCAATGCTTTTTGCACCATCGCGAGACTTTGCTCCTGACCGCAGAGGAGTTCGCTCCCAACAGCAAGCAAGATACTGTAGGTCAGCACTCACACTCGGCCAAATCCTGCATTCACCTGTGCCTACCATGTCGTCGAGCAAACCCTCAGCACTTCCCCCTGGCAGCCTCACACTTATCAGAACACTTATGTCTTACCCTTCCCGTTCCAACACGTGACACCCCATGTGTTGATTTGCACCGACTTGCGGCTGATCATGCCCAGCTGAACGCCTGTGCCACACGGCAAATGACAAAACTGAATTCAAAGCCACGTATAGCCAAACTGCCGCAACAAGTGGCTTCATGGCCCCGCCAGATGGCAACTCGACATGGGCACAGCGAAGACACCCCCAACTCATCCTCTGACAGCGCTGTCTGCTCAGCATCGTAGACTTGCGCGTGAACCTGCAATGGACATCTGGAGCCTTCTTCGTTCACTATAGGACATGATTCGCTGCAAGGGCATCCAGACGACGCGTTGTGACGCGCCTCGAGCTCCAACTCCCGTCGGCGCTGACAAAGTTGGAGTAGGTGTCGTTCCCTCTCGGCCGGAAGTGCCTCCCACACACTTTGATGTGCTCTAACTAGATACAGTGGGTGTGCCCCTGCCCGGATCAGCGAGTTCTTCTCCAGCTTGATCTCTGCTGCTTTGCTTTCGGCGTCGGCTATGCGAACTGAGCCAGCATGATCCTGCCAAGACGTTGTTGGCATCGCTACGTTTTCAACCTGCGCCCGCACCACGTAGCTCCTGTGCCAGGCACTCCCGTTCCAAAATGGAAACGGTTTCGGATGTTTCGCCAACCTTTACGAGTGCGAGTCTTCAAAACGAAATCACAAGCACACATCTACGGTCTGGGATGCACACCATAATCCACGGCGCTTGATGGTCAAACATCGCACTGTGTTTTGGGGACTCGTGCGATTTGCCAGCAAAGATACTACAAGCGAAGTCTGAATGGTAAACTGGAGTGTCGTTCGAGCTTTGATCGACATTGGGGCGGGCTCGGGCGGGCTCTGTGCACTGAAATCTTTGCGCTACCGTAGCTGCGGCTGCTGACTGTCGCTGACTGCGGGGTTGTTCATATTCTGACTCATCGTCTGTTTAGGTTGCGCATCATCCATTGTGGAACCGAGCCGGTAACCTGGGTGCGGACAGACAGCGTGTAAGTTGAAAACACTTCGCTTTGATGCAGTTAAGCCATGCAACAGATTGCATCGACATGAATTTGCACATAAGACGTCACAAAACAGTCCTTGAAAAACAACGTCAGTGTGAAAGATCTGGAAACCTCGCACGCAAAATGGCCTCACGATACAACCATTCTCAAGCCACAAAATCATGTGGTTCCAGGAGCCTTTCTGAGCATTGAATCTTACAAATGTAGAAGGACGATACGTGTATGCTGAAAAGCGCCACATTAAACTGCAAACACACAACAGCCACCACCTTGAATTGAAACAGCGCTGCACTTGCCATGTCAAAGTCTCCCAAGGGTTCTTTGCCGCCACGCAAGCGACAAAAGGTCTTGGTTTGACAGTTTGACGAACAGTAGCTTGGAGAATCATTTTATCATGCACTGCATCTATGAGAACTTCGCGCTGGGAGCAGGTTGCAACAAATGAAGCAACATACCGTTGAACTGTATCAGCAAGTACGACATACGAGGTTTGAAAAGTTGCGACCGGAAGCTGCATCTGGAACCTGCAGGGCTCATTTAAGCGCAGTCTGCATAGCTCGAAAGCATATCGAGCTGTAGCGCTAATCAAAGTGACTCGTACTCGGAATCTACAGCTTCTCAAAAAACCTTCCCTAGGATAATTAGCCTAAGGTGCTCACACTTTCAACTGTCTCAAAACCGGAACTTAATTGTCATAGAAACAGTAGACTCAGTAGACGCCTGCCAATGTCCGCTGAAACCACCGAAGGGCGACTCGAATCGGAAGAAGGAACGGCAACGCCCGGGACAGGCCCACGGCAACTTGCGCGACAAGAGCAGAGCGACGTTGAAACAACCGGGCCCTAAACTGATGTTTTGATGCTGACAGGTTTCCTGCATACGTCGACCTACAGGATCAGGAGCTGTGGTAGGACTTCGCCGCCATGGTTGCGCCATTTGCAATCTCTGCCGGAGATGCTAAACCCCAAAACTCAAGCCACAAAATCCCTGAACCCTAAACCCACACTTTCTAACCGAAAAAACCTGAACCTAAGCGCTATTCTTTCAACTCCGCTTGTGCGTTTGGTCACTTGCGTTCCGCAAACGATTCGTAAACAAGAGATCGAGGGTGGCAAACTTGCCTGCACATGTTGACTTACAGCAAAGTGAACCCTGCTACAAAGTGAACTTTGTCACAGAAAACTCCCCTGATTTGGCATGCCAGCCATCCGTTTTTGTGCACTTGCAGCTGCATTCCAGCACCACAGAGCTGTGACAGGCGTGACAGCATCTTGCCAAATGTTGGCTTATGCGGTTTAACATGTCTTGACAAGTTAGTGATGACTGCGGCATCTAAACATCCAAGCGTCCCATGCAGAACTGTGGCTGCGCATAACGTCGTAGGCAATGATGCGAAAACACAAATTTAGCCAGAACTTGCTCCGGCATCACCCACAAGACTCCGTCAAACCAAACTTCTTCGTGGGTGGTCCGTCCTTGAACCAACACGCTCGATGCTCTAAAAATCCTACAACTTCAATCAATGGGATGTAAAAATTTCTGAAACCCTGACGTCGTCTCCAACTCACAATCGAAACTCAACTCTCAAAACCCACACTGCAATTCTGTTTCCATAAAACTTGCATCGACCATCACTTCGACGTCGAAACAAGCTGCCGCAAACAGAAGGCCACTTTAAATTTAACCCTGAATCTGGTTGCCCAACTTTCACAACTGCCAACTGCATGCAATTTGAAGCTCCCTTTCAGGGAACGGTCCAGTATTCTCCGCTCTACAACGACAACCAGCAATGGGTGCGCGAAAAAAATCGCAAATTGCATGATCAGAACCGACGTACTTGCTCAACGTTTAGTCATGCTGTTGCTTGCTTGCACAGTCTACAACATCTTGCATTGCCACCGTACAGCAAGCATATGCGCTCCAGAAGCGCGGGTGAAGCCAGCAGTGAGCCTCTGCATAGCGCTGCGGCTTTTTGACATGTGGATGCTGTTTCGTCAGCAGGTGTAAGAAGGGAGGGGATGGAATCCGCCAAGAGGCAGAAAACTCACAGTTTCAAAGTTTTCTTGGGGCATTTGGATCCAAATGCCCACCTTGTATGCAACTTTTTTGTCAATGGGGGGGACCTCCCCACCTTGTATCCCATAGACCTGGCCGGCAGGACGCGTGGCGTTGGAAGAGCTACAAGGTCCCAGTGGTGCCCGACCCCGCGCACCATCATCCTGCTGGAATAGCGGGGACGGGCTGCGAACTGTGCCTAAGACTGCTTTGCCTCCTAAATGGAGAAGGTTGGATCTGCGAGAATGCGAAAATGAGCTGCCCGATATGTAGAGCCGCGGGCGGGTGCCTGAGGACAGCGGAACTGATCTCGCAATCTCCGATGGTGTTTTTCTGCCAATCTTGTACCCCACGCGGTGCATATAGTCGGCCAGTATATAGTGGATGCGAGCCGCCTACGCTGGCATACACGGCCTTTCGACGGACAAGGTGACAGGATTGCATCAAACTTTCGCTGGATGCCACACTGAAGAGGTATTCGTGAGTACTGGGTGCAGTGAGAGGAGGCCCAGACGCTTGGAACCCGAGTTCGGACCCAGCTTCGAACCTGGGCTCAAGCCCGGCTTAAACCCGAGGTTCAATTCCGGGTTAAATCCAGGTTCTTAAACCAGGTTCGATCGCTGCTTCAAACCCAGGTTCGAACCCAGCTCCGAAACCCTTCAATCGGCAAGGTTTGCAACCTGACGGGGGCTGCCACCCGCCCAATCTCCCGGCGCTTCCTAAACCACAAACTCTGCTGCGACCAACACGCCAACTGGGTATTGGATGAGCTGACATGAATAAGCATTCTGTTCTTTCTGCCAATGCTGGCACCTAAAAAATCTAGCACTTCTTTCGTTGTCGGATCGAATCGTGCCGCAGCTGGCTCCACCTAGCCACGGCCAGAAAAGAATAAGATTTGATTGTCAAGGAGGACTCGCTGCAGAGCAATAGTTCTGGGCGGAGGTTGGTCTCCCTAAACCCAAAACTCTCACCCCTATACTTTGAACCCTGTAGATCCTCTTAAAAACCTTTGTAATCCCTATAAAAAAACCCTAAACCCTGATGCTGCCTGGTGCATGTTGTGGAGTTCGAGGATTCGAAACCTGAACTCGAAGAGTCTATCCAAGCGGAAGTTTACGATTAAAGGTGTGGGGTTGATTAGTTACGGTTCAGGATTTCGGGTTCAGGGATTTGGGACTAAAGTTTACGCCTTCGGGGGCTGGGATTCAGAGGTTTAGGGGTTTACGGTTTAAGGTTCAAACATGAGAACTGGGGGCCCGCGTTTCAGACCCGAAACCCTTAACCTTAAACCCTAAACTCCTGACCCTTTTGAGTCACGGGCTGGGGCCGGACGTTGGAATCAAGCATCAAACTCCTGACCCTAAACCCGAAAACCTGCATAAACAATAGACCGCGCAAAAACCGTAAATCCTAAGCCTTAAACCCTAAATTAACGAAGGGCCGCCAGGGCTAAGTTTCACCAAGCTCAAGTTTTCTATGAAAGAGCTTACCGCAAGTCTTGCACCAGGATTCAAAGTTGACGCTTTGATGCTACAAAAACGAAAAACCCGGCAAGCTTAAAGTGGGCTCTTGGGTAGTGTCGCTACTACTCTCCATGATCCATCTGCATCCGCCCCCTTTGTCTTTTGTACGGCTGGGGTGCGCCATTGATCATTACTCGTTGGTCAAGTCCGAGACTTTCGACTGGAGATGATGTCCGGAGTCCAGAATCACATTCAATCGAAAACAACTCCAAACGGCACAACTGAAGAATTCACCTTCGAATTGTCGTCACTGATTTCCCGGGCGAGGGTCCGATGACGAGCCTCCTGCCTGCCTTCTCAAGCTTGTCGGCGTAACTTTATCCAGTTGGCCGCCGGGACCGGTTCTGGGTTCTGGAATGTTCTGGGTTTGGATTATTCACTGGGGTTGTAGGTAGTATAAAAGGACGTAAAAAATCTGACTTCCTCGCACAACAAGAAAGAAATGCAGGACCTTCGAAGCTACTGAACTTGCGATGGGCATAAAACATATACAAATCTAACGTGACGACCGAACAGAAACAAAACAGAATCCGACTTCTGTCTGTATTAGGCAATAACAAAATCTGACGTCCGATCCTGACACGAAACACAAAAAATTGACTTCCAAGTAAAACACCAGGAAATCAAGTCAGCAGAAGCTCAGAACTAACAAAGAGGCCTCGCTCAGCAACTCGGCAGAGGCGACAGCGGATCGGCATCCAAAGCCATCCAAGAACGAGTGGGAAGAGAGGTGTAATTCCAGTGGCGGACATCCTAACCTTCTCCACGCAGTAACAAGTTGCTCAGAACAACCAATGGCAGCGAAGGTCAAAGCGAGAAGAGACCGTCAGGACTGAGTGCTGCGGCCGCAGCCACAAGGACCGCAGACGTCAAAAAAAAAGTTTCGACGCATGAGCGAGCCGCCAAGAGATCCACTTCAGAAAGGCTGAGCAATCTGATGTTCAGCTTTGGTGGAAAATTTTTTGGCGTGACTGGGCCTCAATGACAGCGGCGCTCGGTCCCTACAATGAGCAAAGAATACAGCTTTCGTGGGAGATGCTCCATCCACGATGACGCAGAGCGATCCAGGGATGCTGGTGCATGGTGTCAGCGCGAAAGGAAGCTCCCTCCCAGGGTTCGAACGACTTCGCCGGCTA